GATTAGTAGTTGCCAGAGATTAAAAAGCAAATAGGGAGAGAGAGGGCCATAGCTATGAAAAGATAGCAGGTGCCTGTGGTGGTACTATCTTTATCTTGACTGAAGTGATGTTCACACAGTTTATACATGTAATAAAATTGCATAGAACTAAACATGTACACATGCACACACAAATGAGTGTATGTAAAACTACTGACATATGAATAATCAATGGATTTTATCACTGCCAAATATCTGCCTGTGATATCACACTATAGTTGCACTAGATGTTACCACTGGGGAAAACTGTGTGAGTCTGTTGAAAAGCTGCATCTAGAGATATCAGGCAAAGAACTGAATCGAGTATCATGTATCCATTATGGACTATTATGAAACTATTTAAAAGAACAAATTAGAGCTTATCATTTACTTGTTAGAATTTTCATAAAGCTTTGTTAAACGAGAAAAGTCGGGTTCAGAAATGTGTGATATGATTCTATTTTTAGGAAATGATGTCCAAAAATACCCCCATACATACTTATATATATATATGTATATATATATATATATGTATATATATATATATATAAACATACATATCTGTACATAGCTGTGGTGTGTGTGTGAGAGACAGATGTGACAATGGATACATACATATGAAGAAACATACTAGTTTGTTAACACGAATTACCTTGATGGAAGAATGGATGACATGGGTGGTTTGGAGGTACTGGGAGAAGGAGTAACCAACAAAAATAGAAAAAGAAAAAAAATACTAATATGTAAACCAATAATAATATATTCTTATATGCAATTATTTGTTTTGTGTTGTTACAAATTTATAGAAAATTTAAGAACTAATTGTTTTTATTTTACTATTATTATTTGATAACCAAATTTATTCAGATATAATTTACATGTCATTCAATTCACCCAAAGTGTATAATTCAGTAGCTTGTAGTATATTCAGAGTTGTACAACAATTGCCACAGTAAATTTTAAAACACTTTAGATTTCCCATATCCATTAGCAATTGTTCCCCTTTTACTCCCAATTCCACTGGCCATATTCTTGCCTGGAAAATCTCATGCACAGAGGAGCCTGGTGGGCTATCGTCCACGGGGGTCACAAAAGAGTTGAACATGACTTAGTGGCTAAACAATAACAACAAAGTGAGCTAAATAATCCACACCACGCTGCCTAGAACAGTACTCTCAGTACCTGTTAGTTGTTTTCTTTCCTTCCTCTTGTCTCACTTTTGGGACTTGGAGAAGTTCCAGTTGAATTATGAGGCCTGTCCAATAATGTGATGTCATGTTTAAGAATTTTAAGATTCTAAGAAAGTATTTCACGTAAAGTGAGAAATATGCATAAACACTATTTTAGAAGTGATCTTCATACCCACACAAGGGTTCTTTCAGTGGTTTGGCTCATGAGAAAAAACTTTAACAAAGCTAGACACACCATGATTCAAGGTCTCTTTCTTCTTCCTACCTCTCCCTCACCACTTCCCCAAGCCCAGTTTCTCCAACTCACTCCCCCGTGCATGAAAACCTTTCCCCAACATATGAGAATATTGAGTACAAACTGAATGATTGAAGAGTTAAAAGAAAAAAGTTTAGTCTATAAAAGATTTGTAAAGTGCTTAGTAGCCCCTGTTTTCTCCGAGCCATTTTTGTCCCGCAGCCTGGATCTTGACATAACGTCCCCACCTCACTCTCTCCCTGTCTCGCACACATGCACACTCATGCTCAATCTCACTCTCTCCTCTGCTTTCTCTTTCTATTACGAAGTGAAAATCCCATGAAAGTCATTTCTATGTCATGTGTTCATTCATTTAACAAAGACAATTTAATGCCTAGAATGCATGGAGCACTCTTCAAGGTACCTGGTCCATGGTGTGCATCTTAAGAAGTGAGATGGGATTTGGGGAACTGGTCAATTAGCACATGCCTTACCAAACCAAAACATTATTGTCGTGTTTGCTCAATATTTGTGCAGCTTATCTACCTAATTATAGCTTAGGAATGATCAGGAGAAACAATGTGCGTGTGACCCTAGGAGAGGTTGTAGCTGATGCCTACTTTAACTCCACTCTGTATCAGCATTACAACTGGCCAAGAACAAATAGCATCTTGCTTTCAGATTCTTGTACAGGTAATATTGAGCAGCCTGAATCCCTTTAAATAGATTCCCAAACTGCTACGAACTGTTTGACCTTCTTAAGAGATCTAGAATCTGATTGGCTCTATTTAAAAACCTAGCTGTTTTCTTTTAAAACAAAACTCAGAGACTTGGGATAGACTTAAAAAAAATTTTTTTTTAATCTGAAACTAGGATGATTTTACACAGTTTGAATTGTGAAATGAAAATTGCATTATTTGGTTTAGCAGGTGCATAATGAATTATTACAACTTTTAATGTTAGCCAGATACAGTCCTACATTCAAGAAATACATCTTGTACACAAATAACTATAATGTTAGACAAAAAATATTGTTATAATAGATGGTCTAAAAATGCCACTTGAAACAGATAAGGAAGAGATTTATTCCTGTTAGGTGGGATTAGAAAGGGTTTCATAAAGAACATATCATCATATCCAAAGTCAAAGAAGAGGCATAAATGTGGAGACATAATAAAAGCAACCCAAGTTTCTCATAGCCAGTAATCCCACCTGCTTGGAAGTTGCGGAAAGGGAAATAAAATTAGAGGATTTGTAATAATCATGAAGACCCCAAAATGTCATCAAAGGAATTTGGAGTTTATTTTGAAGCCAACAAAAAACCATGGAAGTGTTCTGAAACAAGGAGTCACAATCAAAACTGTCTTAAAGAGATTGTTCTGACATCCATGTATATACGAGAATTGGAAGTATCAGAGGAAGGAAGATGAACACAGAGGCCATAGTTGTTTTAGGCCAGGTGGGCCTGAACTAAGAAAGCAAAATCACGGTAGATGTCAGTTCTCTAAACATGAAACAGGAATTTGAATTAAGGGAACAGAGGCAAGAGATATGATGAGGGATGACTGGAATTTGGGAGCTGATGCCAGTGGTGAAAGAAAGAATACAAGATGCTTTGCTTGTCTGTGTGCTTGGGAGGTTGACAGTGCTCTTCAAAAGAGAAAGGAAACAAAGATAAGATCTGGAGAAAGAAGGAAAGTGATGTTTCATTTATTCAATAAACATTTATTGAGCACTTACTATGTGTCAGGCACTATTCAGGGGGGATGAGAGTTGTGTTTAATTTTTAAAACAATTTATGTGGTAAAGGCAGTGTTCTCAGTCCTTGTGACTCCAAAGGCAAAGCTGGAGCCAGTGAGGAGGAGTCAGCTAGGGCTTCCCTGATGGTGCAGCAGTGGAGAGTTCACCAGCCAAGCAGGAGACCCAGGTTCAATCCCTAGCTCAGGAAGATCCCCTGGAGAAGGAGGTGACAACCTACTCCAGTATTCTTGCCTGGAAAATCCCATGGACAGAGGAGACTGGTGGGCTACAGTCCATGGGGTTGCAAAGAGTCATATGCAACTTAGTGACTAAACCACAACAGCAGGAAGTAAAATATCTTCTAAGGAAGTAAAATACCTTTTGATAAGTAGTGAGAGCTCTGTTGCAGGCAGTATTCAAACCTAAATTGGATAATATTCTTCAAGGAACTCTGAGACAAGGGATTCCTGCATTAAGAGGGAGGTTAGACTAACCTCTTTGCAAGTTCTCTCTCAATCTTAAAGAGTCTGTTCTTTTCATGATCTACTCCTATGGGTTCTATTATTAATCTCTGGTTTCTCTCAATTATTAAATAAATTACTCAGTCTGTCTGCCATTCAGTAAAACTCACACATTTACATCTGTTATTCTTAAATTATTCTTGGTTAGGGCTCTTCTTCTTTATTAAAAAATTCTACCCAGTAATGTTACCTCTATACCTAATTTAGAATGTCAACCCTGGTAGATTGGGTTATAAATATCAGAGGGGAAAAGGATTTTTTGTGCCTAATATTTTTGTTTGTAAGAAGCCTCACAAATGAGAAATGAATTATCTTGACTTCAAGATTGCGATGCAGTTTCTGTATTTTGCAGCAATTCAAGAAGGAAAAAAAATACCTCAGAGAGGCTCATTTTGATACAGCACGGTAAAGAAAGAGAATAATTGTTCTCCAACACTGTAAAGCTTTAGATCAGAAACATTTATCTGTGCTGCGTTTTAAAAAAATAAGAAAGGAAAGAAAAGGAAAAAGAGAACCTGTCGGGAGCTCCCCTATAAGCTATAGTTAAAGCTTTGCATTTCCTGGTGTCTTTTGAAACGTAAAATTCCACAACAAATAGCTCTGTAACGTATAACCAGGATGAGGATTCAATTCAGTTTTAAGCACTTTAGTTTGCTTTTGAATCTTGCTATTTTCTGCATTTGTTTTGACTGCTCTCATCATTCAAGATTGACGCTTGGATGGGTGTGTAGGAGGAAGCAGCAGCAGCAGGCTTACAGCTTGCAGACAAAAAAAATCTGCCTTATCTGATGGCTATTATTGAAAATGCGAGGTGTAGCCTGGGCTGGGTAATGAAGGGGAGCGAGCGAGGGGGAGCAAGGAGCATGGAGCTGCATACTGATGAGTGTAGGAGTACTTGATAAAAAGAATTCTGGCTGCTGGCCGTGCATTGCTCATTGTGGAGTACTCCAACAATCACACGGAACGCAGACCAGCCTAAGCTGACAGCTTGATATGCCTTCTTCTGCTGCCTGGTTTTGGGGGCTGTGTGACGTACTGGTCGGTAGTAAAGATTAATATGTAAGAAATGTGGAGCTAGGATCAAGTCATACTCCACAGCCTGCCTGGCAAACTATGTTTTACTTCTGACTTTGCTCTCTCGCTGAGAACATTAATCTGTCAAGCTGGCGGGCTCCTTTGATAGCAACTTTCCCAGGAGCATGATGTGGCAATGCCACCTCTCAGCCCAGGACTACCGCTATTACCCTGTGGATGGCTACTCCCTGCTCAAACGCTTCCCTCTTCATCCTCTTACAGGACCCAGATGCCCCGTCCAAACAGTGGGACAATGGTTGGAAAGCATTGGGCTACCTCAGTACGAGAACCACCTGATGGCTAATGGATTTGACAATGTGCAGTTTATGGTAAGACGCTCTCTGTGTCCACGGAGCTGCCTTTTGTCTGTCTTTGCTTCTTATGTGTCTTACACGGCTCAGAGGCAGCCTGATTTGCACCAAAACTGGTCAGTTTTATATATGTAACTGCATTAGAAAATTGGATGCCCTTAGGACTGAACCGACTGTGTAACATATAGGCACTTGCTGAAAAATGAGATCTGTGTGCATTCATATACATGTGTATTATATGAATGAACCGGTGAGAGTACTATTTATAGGCAGTGAAAGAAGATTAACATTTGTATTCTCCCTGTCATTCTTTGTGTGATTTTTATAAATCTGTCATCTCAGAATACCCAGTTAGATGATGATAGCACTCTTCAGTTAATTCTAGATTCCTGAAACATATTTCATTTGGGTATCAGCATTTAGTGATTAATTAAACAATTTGTTGTGTTTATGGTGTGAAGATCATTTTTTTTTCCTTATAATTGCTCAATAAGGAGTTTAAATTGTGGGGATGACCTTTAGTTCATTAGCAAACTGATTCGAATGGTCTATTATAGAAAGCTTTCGCTTAGTTTACATGCTGATTGAAGAGCAACGAGGTATTGTTTATTATTTTAGGTAGAAAACAAACACGTCCATCAGTTAACCGTCAGTATCTAGAAAGAGAGGCAGAGGGACTAAGTACATTCGTGTACTTCTGAATACTGGTCTGCCTGCGGTCTAAAGCTGGTGGTGCAAACTTCCCACTGAGATGAATATAGGTGAGGAAGGAGGATGGGGAGCTGTGCAGACCCGTAACAGCTTTCTGATCATTCACATGCCTCCCCCGGTGCTCATCAGTTCCCCTCGTTAGGCTACGTCACAGTCAGTATTACCTTTCTTTGCTTTTAAGGTCCCATCACACATGTTACGGATCCCTAAATTTAGAGAGAGAATACATAACATAGGCATGTAGCACAAAATGGCTTGCAGAAACAATAGTTATTTCTAAATAAAATACTGGAGCTTACAACTGAGGCTTATTAATAGTAAAATTGATAACATTTTACTGAGAGCTAGGCACGTCTTTTTATTTTCATTTTAGATTATTTTCTCCAAGCTTGACTTGACTATTGTAGATTTGAAGATTATTTAAAACTGTTAAACTTTTGCTTCTCCAAAAATGTGTGTCCCAATAGCTTTTTTTTTTTTTAAGCTGGATCAATTTAGTAAGACATATGAGCCCTAAGTAATTGTACCCATAAAACTCTTAATGAACCCACTTTTAAATAATGAGACATGCAGCTACTATTATTTTTCTTATGTTTAAGAATACTGTCACTGATTAGACAGATTGTGTAGCTATCAAAATAGGGGGAAAATAAAATTTGCTTCAGTTGCCGTGAGAGTCTTAGGACAGACTGAGTGGAATTAGGACAGCCTTAGGACACGAAGCAGATGACACTAAGAATTAACTATTACATTTACTGCACGTTTGGATGAGTCTTTATTCTTTCTTCTTGTGCCTCGTTGAAATAAGACTTTCTCACTCCCACTCCTCAAACCTGTGTCCAAATTTATTCTGGTCCCGTGAGAAGTTAGCTAGGTCTTTGGAGTCTCTGGATCATTTACCTACTTTGAAAGATTTTAATTCAGTATAATTTTCCTCTGAATGTTAAACACTTTAGAGTAAATATAATCCCTTTTTGTAAACCCAATGCAAAGGTTAATCAAACATGTTTCCAATAAGCATTTCCAAAAAGCATTCATGAATAAAATATGTATAAACACTCCAAAATGTATCCAGGAAGAAAAAAAATCCTGGACATATGTGACAAAACCAAGGTCTGATCCTCTCCATAGACTGTTGACTTTATTTTTTCAATTCAAATTATTGTATATAATTTTTCAGAAATTAAGAAAACATAATTAATTTAGAAAAATCAATCAAACACTTTCTATACAAGACAGAATTTTAAAAATTTGAATTATCATTCAGAGGAGTTAATTATGGAAATGAAGCAAATCATAAAACAGTGTCATCAATTATCACTTTGCATGCTGCTATACACCGTTTATTTGCTACTAGCATTATAAAAAATCAATTTCTATCTCTATAAAAATTATTTATTGATCTCCATAATCTAATTTACATAATTATGAACTTAGTTAAAGTACACTAATATGATCAGCCAACTTTAAGAAATAGGTTTCATTAATGTGGTGAAAAATCTGTTGGACCTGCTTAGTCTCCATTTGGTATCATATTCTAGCTTTTGTTTTTCTTGAAGCACATTCTGACCTGCATTTATTCATTCTGTTGCCTAAGCAACAAGCACCACACTCCTATTAACTATGATGTAGTGCAGGTCTTATTAGCTTTTTAGAACAAGACAGTAGAGACATCAAAAGGATATAATTAATGTTGGTTGAAATATTGTAGTACATCCATGTATAGATATACTTTATTTAGGAAACATTCTCAAGAGTTAATTTTTCATTTAATCAATATTCCATAATGAATATGAGTTTCAAAGGGCCCATATAAATAAATTTCAAAGTATTTATTGAAAGCTTTGCAAATTTTTTTGTTAATAACTCTGTTCTACATACTGTTACACATAAACACAATATATGAATGATTTATCCACACAGCTGTGATTAACTTTAATAAAGATTTTTTTTACATCAATTCCTAGACAGAAAAGAAGGACCTTGTTAGAAAAGAAGGACTCATTTATTTTTAAATATTTATCCATTATTGTTTCTCCTTTGGGCTCTTAAAACTTATTCTAGATTTTATTTATGTATCAATTTTTAAAAAATACCTGTAGGTTAAAATTCCAAACTTTTTCTTTATGTATCTGGTCCTGGTTTGCAGAATAGTTTTGCAGAGGATATTTATGTGTCCTTAAAAATATAAAATAAGTGGAAATTGGTACAAAGAATAGCTACAAAATTTCACCTAAGACTTTGGGAAAGTTTAGATCTATGTGGCAAAAGTCCCTTCAACACAGAAATCCTTTGTCTGAAGACTTGTTCAAGCCCCACTCTACCTGTTCATGCCCTCTGAAGTCACATGTTATCAGCTCCCATCTGCTTCGGCAGGTCTGCCTGCTACTCACTAGCCTCTGGGTGTGCTGCCATGGTCCTCTGATATCCCACCTGTTTTCCCCAAATTTGTAGCATATAGGATGTGTCTGACTTTCAACATTACTTTTTTTTCACTAAGGAGTTTAAGTATGAAATGATTACTGTATAAAATGCTCATGATGATTTACTTTCTTATCAGATATATTTCTATCATCACGTCTTTTCCTATGCTAATAGCTGCTTCCTAGTATGTAAGCCTCAAACTATCTGTTCTTGTCCTGCTGAATACTCATCTGATACTCCCTCAGCTATCATAGCTATTTCCTTCCCTTCCTCTCTGTCTTTCATTCTCAAAGGTCTAACTCAACTTCTGCCTTGTTTCTATAGCTTTTCTTAAGGGCTCCAGTACTTAGCAGCCTCTCTTTTCTCGATTTCATGTAGGGGTTGTATTTGGCATGAAAAATTACATTTGGCATGCCATTATTTACTCTCCAGGATTGGGAGTTAAGTTTTCACTTGAATATATCTTATCTCCCCAACTAGACTAGAAGGTCTTCAAGTCCAAGTTCTGCATATTCAATTTCCTTGCATTTCTAGCACTCCTAGCATAATGTAGTATACACAGAAATCTCCCTATAAAAACTGGATCCACAGCAGATTATTATAGATGGACATCCAGCCGAGGACTAAAAGCCTCATCCTGCCAGTGGGAACATACAGCATTAGTACCTTTTATCCATTCATGCAACAAACACTCCTTAAACATTTCCTATGTGCTAATGGCATTGTTAATTAAATTACTAAGGGTATAGCAATAACCAATATATTACCTTTGACCTCAAGCAGGTTACAGTATTGCTCTTAGACCTATCGTATTATTTGCATGCGCATTGAATATACATTCCTTCATGTGCTAACACAAACATGTGTATACACACATTGTATCATGTATTCATCCTTTCATATGATCACCATCCTTCAGCATATTACTTACCAGGAATTGTTTTTTCAGCAGCAAATTACAGTAGGCAGTAGTAGAGGTAAAAATCTATCATAGCATGGAGTAAAGAAAGATATAGATACTGATAACATCTAAACACTGCCAGTATTATGATAGATTTGTCATCCAAAGACTATAGTAACAAGTTTCTCTTACTTGGAGGACTGACCCCTAGCCTCACCATGTTTTAGCAGACAGTCATATTTGTAAACTCTAATCAAAAGGGGAAAAGAAAGAAATTATACCAGCTCATTATTTTATCACTTCCTATGCTTTCTAGCAGTTGCCATCTAGGTTGACTTGGATGCTTTGACCACTATTAAAATTTCAAAATGCATACAGAAAAAGATACAAAAATAATACCAAGAGCCCTACATGAATTAGCATTTTTGTACACTTGGGCAGGTAGCATTCATAAAGAATTTACTCAAGGTCAAAGTGAGTACTGCCTATTATACATAGAAGTAGAGTCACAGAGCTCTTGGAAGTCATCCATTTGAACCAAAGATTTGAGCAAGATTGATCTTATAAGCGTTTAATTCAAACTTTTTTTCATTTTTGTGGTGCATTTTACATGCAAATAGACTTACATCTTTTCTCCTCTTTTGCATAACTTTTCTGTAATAAGAGCACCATTTGCAGTTGACCTAATAAAAATGACCTTTTAAGTATCTTAGCAGCATATCTTGATCCAAGTGAGAAGTTAAACTTGGGAAGCAGAAAAATAAATTACCCCTAAAAAATAAGACTAATAGCCCCCACAATGTTTTCCTGTTTCAAACATTGTTTAAGATAATGTTATAAAGTTACTGAGATTTAAGGGTATAAGAGAAATATACCTGCCAGACACCCTGTGCCTTCCTGTTTCTGAAACAGGTGGCTTTATATTGAAAGTGCAGTTATAGTTCTCCAAATTCATTTAGGCCAGCAGTTACATACCCACTTC